TGTAGTGTTGAGCAAATGGAGACGGCATGTTGATATATTATGATGTGGAGAAAAACGGGTACACAACAACAACTTGACCTCAAGTTTGGGAGAAAAGTGGAGGCGAATGATTCGTTCGATTGACGGGTCTTTTTCTTTTTCCTTGATCCTCGATCTTCACAAGCGAAAGATATTGAAGGGTTGAGCTGCTCTCTTCCAACGATTGACCCCAAAGTAACGATGGCAGCAGCCGCCAAGTCTGCTAAAGAGGACGAATCGTCGATTGAGGTATGAATTGCTTACAGTTATCAGTACACACTAAAATACACACGATGGCATCAACCGAGTGAGGTCATCTCAGAGGTGTGAGTGTGTTCGATTTTTGATTCCACAATCGATGACTCAGTCGACTTCTTACTACGTATGATACTACTACGAAGTAGTAGGTAGCCACCGGTAGTAGTAGAGAGTGTCATACAAACTAATCATTCGATGGTAGTACGTAATAGTGTGTGAATAGGTATGATACGTAGTACTACGCATTCCAATCTTCCAGGCCGTACACAGTGATGACTCCTCTACTCCTTTACTATAATCTATATCATAAAATATATTTATGCTGTTAATATATTGCTTCTTGTTGACCACTACACACAGTAGTAAGCAATGAAATAATAAAGAAACCACAAGATTTCATTTGTTGTTGTTTGAAAGGAAATTTTGTTTTGCTTGTTTTGCTTGAACTTCACCCACCACCACTTGAAGGATATATTCGGATGATCCCCCAACCACCTGAGTGGATAGGATCACCTTGTCGTGGTAGGTATGTCATATATTTTTATTACCATGGGACTTTCATCAGAGTGTTATTCCACAGTCTTCCTCAACCTTAGTGGTAGACAACACCAGTATTGTCGTCGTCGTTGTGGTTATGCATCGTCAAGATTTGGATGCGACAATGGTCTACAAAGACGTCCACTTGATTTCCCACACCGGCAACAGCAACCATCATGGCCAAGGAGGATGGTATTGCATCTTCTGATACTGTTTCTGGTTTTCCTCCGATGGTACCGTCATTACGATCCTGCTCTTCCTTTGGTGTCGTAACTGTATATGCTGCTGCTGCTGCTGCTGTTGCTGCTACGGCATAACTGGATGGTGGTGTACACCATAGTCGACCGGATTTTTCCAATTGGAACGGCGATTTCCAAACTGTGACAGCTTGATGATTGGCAACGGTGTAGAGCATGGATTGACCGTTCACTACTATGTTTGTCACGCGACGAATGGCTTCGGGTGTTTCTTGAGACGTCACCAACGTCCCCGAAGGAGCATGCCATGTCGCAATCAACCCTCCTGTAGTCGTATCCCGCTGTTGACTACGGTTCGTATGGTTGTTGTTGTTGTTGTTGTTGTTGTTGTTGTTGTTGTTGTTGTTGTTGTTGTTGTTGTGTGAACCAAGAAATGGATTATGATGGCTTGTTGACGTTTTTGTTGTTGACGTTTTTGTTGTTGTTGTTTTTGTTGTTCGGTTGGCCACAACAGTCCACCAGGTTCCCTGTTGTGTTTGTATAATCTGTGACACTGACCACCACGGAGATGTATTTTTGGTCGTATCGGGAGCGGGATTGCTGTTATTATTGATGTTCGTGTTATTGCTGTTGTCTCCAAAGCTCGGCCAGCAGGGAGACGGCTTTGTTAAAGTGGTACTGCTTTTGGACAAGTCGTCGCGTGTTGTATGATCGTCGTCGTTGTCGTCGTCGTTGTCTACCAACGACAAACTGTGCGGCGGGTCTTCCAGTAACGAAAAGTTTTTTGATGATGAAACAGAAACGTCGTCGTCGTGTTTGAGACGTAACACCAAAAGTCGAGATTGATTGGTACCGATCACAACGGTCGTTGCCACTGAACCGTCCTTGTTGGATCCATCAACACAACAAGAATCGGAAACAAGCATGGTGGTACACATCTCTTGGTTGTGTGGTGGTGGTTGCTGTTGTCGTTGTTGCTGGTGGTGGTGGCGATAATTTCGCTGCCGCTGCCGCAATGAATGGTGATTCTTGAGATAGGATGATAAGGAAATTCGTCGATTCATGATCACTCCATGTCCATGACAGTCATTCTGGTGAACCATCGTCGTCGTTGAAAGATCCAATCGGAGCAATTGATTCGTTTCCAGTACATACAGAAACCGTTGATGCTGCTGGAGGACCATGTGTACAACCGGTCGATTGTGAATCTGTGTTACGACTGGTTTCGGAATAGTTTGGGGGGTGTTATTGATACTGCCATTCAGAAGAACAGAAGACAGAATCTCATTCATAGAAATACTCCAAATACCATCCGATCCAGCTACAAGGAGAAAGAGTTGTTGTGATTGGTCTTGTTGTTGTAATTCTATTTCTGTGGAGGATCGTTTTCGTTTTTTGTTGTTGTTGTTGTTACTCGTTTCGGATGTTGTTGTTGTCGTTGCTGCTGTTGTTGTTGTTGCTGTTGTTTCCAATACTTGTAGTGTATGGAGTACTGAATTTGGACTAGACGAAACACGAAATCTGGTCACTTGTCTAGTCGTCGTCGTTGTTGTTGTTGCTGCTGCTGCTTCCGTTGGAACGTCATGGTCAGCAGCTTCATGAACAACCATTGGATTCTGTTTTGTGATGACTCTCCAAACAATGATCTCACCCGTGGAGGTACAACCAAAGAGAAACAACAAATTTTGTTGTTGTTGTTGTTGTTGTTGTTGAAAGTGATGCCATTGCAAATCCATAATAGTCACATCGGAAGACAAGAAGAAGGACTGCTGGTTCAACAACAATGAACTCTTCTTCTTCTTGAAATGAACGTCCCATTCGGATTGATACGAAGCATACGTCGTTTCAAAGGAACGAGGAGGTGGAAGTTCCATTCTCATCTTCATTACAGTAGAATGTTGCTGTAAGGGTTAGGATGTATACTACCGGTAGTTAGTAGTTGCACTACGCTTGCAGCTGGTATGATAGGATGTTGTTTTATCAGAGCCAGACCGTAAGACCGACGGAAAAGAGAGAGGAAAGAGATACATAGATTGGCGGTTGTTTGGTACTACGTAATAGTACCGGTACTTCGAAGTAGTAGTAGTACGAGGGACGTATTTTACTTACAATTAGTACGTAGTACGAGTACGGTCGTAGGTAGATGTTTCTTGACTTCTATGCTTCTACTGTCGTATACTACACTCTTATATCTCTGGAGTGGAATGGAGTTGTAATCAAGCAGTTTGATGATCAATCTCTCTATCTATAGCACATCCTTATAACGAACCAACTGTAAAGAAAAAGTTGATCTTTCTACTAGCTAGCTTAGAACTCTCCTTGATCATAATGATGATGACCATGTCCATGCGAGTGATCGTGATTGTCATGAAGACTTGTTTCATGAATATCAACAGTGTGATGCGCATGATGCATGTGGTGGTGTTCTAGTACTACTACTTCTTCTTCTGGTGGGGATTGTCGAGAGTGATGATGATGATGATGATGATGATGATGATGTCCATGACTATGATGGCCCGAATGGGAATGTTCGTCCATTTCTTCCAACAGACTCACGGCATACAAAAATCCGATACCCATGGCAAAGAAGAGCAGTTGGACCAATCGGAACTTCCAGGACCGTCCCTCGTCGAGTAGTTCGGGTAAGATATTGACGGTCGCAAGATACACGAACCCACCGGCGGTGATAAACATCAATTCGTCTCCCGCCACGTGTGCCGTCAACAATCCAACGTAGGTACCCATCATGGCCGCAACGGCCGTTCCAAACTGAGCCAATATCGCTTGTCGTTTACTAAATCCTTCCTTGACGAGAATGGCAAAATCACCCAGTTCGTGAGGGATCTCATGAAACAGTATGGACAGTGTTGCCAACCCACCCCGAGATTGGATCATTTCTAGAACACCAGCAGCATTGTCCGCAGATTTACCCGCATAATTGGAAAAGGAGGCACCAATCGCAAGACCGTCAGTAAACTTTTTACACACAGAGAGACACAGACGGATCAGATCCAAATAGAAAAGAGAGAGAGAGAGAGAATGTTGGAAATCACAAAAAGAGGAGGAAGGGGGGCGGGGATGACTTTTTTTACATAATGTTTTTGTTTTTTGGAAATTTCCATTTCAACAACATCATCAACAACAACAAAAACTCACGTTGTGAAGTGCATCGGCTGCCAAATTCAACAATACCAACGACTGTTTGTGCTCCGGATGTTCATGGATAGTCTTCTGGTGGGAGGAGGACTCGGACTCGGACTTGTTGTTGTTGTTGCTGCTGCTACCGTGGGAATGTCCTCCATGGGTAGTATTAGTAGTTTGATTCAGTTGCCGGATCACCATATCGGTCACTAAAAAGATCGAGAAACCCATTAAGATCCATAGACCCATAGTATCGTGACCATTGCTAGTACTGGCACTGTTGTGGTGTCCGCCTGCGGCATGTGGAATGACATGTAAAAACACATCCCCCAACAGTCCACCGGCTGCGATGGCTTGTCCCAAACTCAACACAAAACTGTGTTGTCCCTCACCACAACCATAATGAGGGAACAGTAATAACAATACGTTCGGAGCGATACTGATCAACGCCGTTGAAGTGAAGGCGGCCATAGCGGCAGTGCTGTTGAGAGCGGTCGATAATGATGATGATGACGACGACGACATGATAAATGACAGGACGGATGAATGGTTTTTGGAAACACACAACAACAACAACAAGATGTATTGGAAATCTTTCTGATACATATTTTCTGTAGTAGAAGTAAAACGAATACGACCTGGGTCGATAATATGCTACTACTACTGCTACTACTACCGTAGCTAGTAGACCACCACAGTTGCTGGTGCGGCACTGGTGTGATTGGATGCCGCTGCCGTCGGGTCTGGCCTGATGATGAGATGTAAAATCAGTAGAACTCTATCATAAAGCTGGAAGGTTGGACCAAAATTTAGACTTGATGAATTATATTTTCACCTCTTGTTGATGGTGCCAACGTAGCATAGTTGGTTAATGCACCTCATTCGTAATGAGGAGATCCGTGGTTCGAACCCGCGCGTTGGCTTTTTCTTTTGGATCGACCGTCGATCAGTTTATACAGTTAGTTCCAATTCAAGAAGCTCTGATGAAGGGAAAAAGAGGTCCACTCTGATGGTCCTGTTGCTTATCATCTTGTCATTGTTCAAGTCGGTGCGTCAAGTTTCAGAAGTTTTTACAAAAAAATACAACGATTTACCGTATAATCTATCGATGGTGGATGATGCCACAGCTATTCATACAGAAACCAGTAGACTACGACATACCGGTAGTCTGCTGCTGCGAATTGTAGAACTCATTGCTTTTTTCTATTGTTATTTTTCTATTGACTGTGAGTGGTTCTACTGGATTACTACTACGACGTACTACGTACATGTTCTTGGATCAGTTCATTTTCAAGTATACAGCATCCAGCACTTCAAAGAAGGGGCTATCTTTTTTGTTGACGGTCGTAGTTGTGTCGTTGTAGTAGTTTTCATAATGTTGTAATGATAATATTATTTTATGTATCATATATGATACATAGAGTATTAGTACACGAAGGTATCGGTAGTATGTCGAAGGTGGATGATACCTTCGTACTGTACGTACCAGATGAGGCGACGCACCTCCGTCCCGATCCAATCCATAAAAAAAAATTGGTTGGATGGCTGTGATGCTGTGATCACATCAGCGACGGAGGCGAAGAACAGAACCGACCGATCTGGTTGTTGGTTCACTTGGGATGGATACCAAACTACATCATTATGGAGAGTGCCTGTTGTTGCAAGACACAAACCAAACATCCAACAGACAAAAACAACAATATTACAATAATATAATAATGTCAGATTCCGATCAGGAAGAAACGAAAAAGAAGAGTTCCAAGAGGGATTCTTCTTCGTCCGCTGCTGCTGCTAGTAGCAGCAAGACGTACGAAGAACGTGTGAAGGCAGTGAATATTATTGCTCAACCGTTAGCATCCAAGAAATCTACCAAAAAGGCTCACAAGCTCGTGAAGAAGGCGTCTCAAGCGAAACATATCCGTCGTGGAGTGAAGGAGGTTGTGAAAGGTCTTCGAAAGGGTGAACAGGGTCTTGCAATCTTGGCGGGAGATATCTACCCGTTGGATGTGTACAGTTTTTTACCCATCTTGTTGGAAGAGAAGAACGTCCCGTACATCTTCGTTCCGTCGAAACAAGATTTGGGAGCCGCAGCATGTACCAAACGACCGACCAGTGTCGTGTTGGTCAAGTCATCATCAACATCATCATCGAAGAAAGATTTTGATGGAAAGGATCTCATGGATGCATTGATTGCGGAAGCGAAAGAATACGACCCATTGAGTGTATGAGGAGTGTTTTACACCTGGCTTTTTCAACCAACATTATAATATAGGACTGTTCTTTTGCTACTAAAGTGTATCTCTTGTGTTTGGGACAAAAACAGGACAGTGACAGCTCAGGACAGAGGACGGTGAAAGCAAGCTAGATTACAACATTTTGGTTGTTTGGAATGATACAACCACTCCGTCGCTCTTAATATCGGATACAATTTGCTTCATTATATACTATAAGATGTACTGTTGACTATAGTTCAAATGATACAGTACTGTTGGTTGTCAAGAAAAACCCTCTAGACATCCCAACTTTCTGTTAGGCAAGATATGCTACCACATGTAGTACAAGAGAGAGAAGAAAAACATCCCAACGGAGAAAGAATGAGTGTTTGGTTATTCTTTTTTTTGGGGGGGGGGTTCCGATTACGGAGTACACCAAGAAGAAGAAAAGCCTCAAAAGCTATGCCTCTGCATCTCGATTCAATCCTTTTTTTTAATTGGCCTTCTGAAGAATAGCAGAACCGATCTTTGTTGGAGCTATGACTCGTTTCAACTGCAAATGAAAGTACTACTTGTTGTTTGCTAACTGTAATATTTTTTTACATCAGTTTTTTCCACCACTTCAGATTTGGGTAGTAAAATACTACGTAGAGATCGTAACAACGATCTTCCAATGTACGACCACTTATCACTGGTACGTGCACATACGGTACACCAATAGGTAGCTACTATCCCCCTGAGTGGATCACCTTGTCGTGGTAGGGGGGGGGGGGGGGCTTAGCCCAGGTTTGCCAGAGCCTGGGGAACTAAGAATCCACAGATGATCTATCAGCGCAACAGAAGATATCGTCCCAGCTGTAGTACAAACAACTGCTGTCTTGTGCATGACATCATGCAGAACCGGTGGCCGACCAGAAAGATTGTGTTTCTCATATTTAGTTGGAAGAGGGGGCTAAGGGAGAGGAAGAAGAATGCTTAATGCATGTTTCCTGATGCAGAGTTGTGATGGGCACTGACATATCCATGGAAGAAATGGCATCATAACTCAGCCGAGTGTCTAGTGCAGAGGGACAGTACTATTTCATTGGAAATATTATTGGTGCTTGACATGGAAAGCTTCTTTTACACGTACTTTCTGCCCTATTGGGTTGCAACAGGTAAAAGATATCAACACACCCAAAACAATTTAAGTGGTCAGTTGCTGCCTTCCCAGCATTGTTTTTGGAAGACCACGCCACATCTGACAATCACTGGTTTGGACTTTTCCACATTCTTCATGAGGTTTTTTGCCTTTCCAGTACACCGAGGGACGAGTGGTGGGCAACAGGGTACTGAGTGGACGGAAAGCTGCGGGTGAGCCAACTTCTCAGATGCAGAATCGATGGTAGCTAGTAGTTGGTATAGCCTTAAATAGATTTCCTTATCAATTAGCAACAGAGAAATTATGTCTTCGTTTTCGCAAGCGATAATGAAAGTTATTCAAATAATCAATGTCAATCACCCACGCAAATAATTGAAAGCAAACAAGCCTCTTTCTAAAAAATAGAGAGATCCGAAACAATTGTTTTCCGAGTTGTGGCGTTCGACGTAAGGTTTAAGTTCTTGTGGCTGAAAATAGATTTTCTATTATGATATATGATATCCACCAATAGGTAGCTTCGTCGTACGATAGTACTCGAAGTATTATTTTATGATATGGAGTTTTGGAGTTTTTTTTCTTGGGCAGAGACAATAATGAGTGAAGGAAGGCCGGACAGACCGCTCAGGATAGCACTCAGGATGGAACCGTACGGACGACGGATCAGACCTTCGTCACTTGGCACGTACTACGTTCGAAGTTCTTTGTCATCACATCATGTTAAATTTTTTAACAAGACATGGGGAAACGGAATCGCCCATCTCTCTCGCCCGTGTCGGCACATCATCGGACTTCGGGCACTTCTTGACGCCTGCTCTGCGGAATCGCCGTTGTCGGCACATCATCAGCACATCTATCTACCAGTCATTCCTGACTAGACATCCTGTCATCCATCAACCCTTTTTTGGAGACGGCGATAGCCGGGATTCTGATGGGGAGGATTTTGAGGAAGAAGCCGCTCTGTTGAACGAGTCTGGAGGTGTCTCGCAGCCGAAAGACGGTACATCCAGGCTTTGCGTCCAGGGCCTTGGGCAGTCTTCTTCCATTGTCGGCGTGAAAAACGCTTCTATCAAGGTCTTCGTTGCATGGAGGAAATACAGAGGCAAACCTGCAGATGTAACTTGGATGGAGATTGATGGCGACAATCTCATGGGTTACAGTAACGAAGCCTGTGTGTGGGCGTCAAAGGCCTGCGTGCCATATGGTGGAGTATCTTGCTTTGATGAAAATCTTCAACCAACCAATCCGTCAAGCAGAAGATGTTTGACCTATAAAACTCTTGGGATATATCTAGGTCAACATTTACAAGCTATCAACGACCGTTTCCCTCACCATGACGATTTCAAGAAGCCCGCCGATGCCCCAAAGGAGCAGGTAACACCTTGGTGGTGTGCCGTGAGAAATTCGTTTCTCAAGAGATGCAAGAAGTTTCAGGCAGCTTATGGAGATGACGTAGCGTTTGGAATTGAACCTGTGGTACCTCTGTACAAAAACAACAATCTTGCTATTGGCCTAGTTATTCTTGGTGATCCATTTGCGGCTGTTGACCAGAAGTCTGTTTTTCTAGAGAAAGTACAGAAGGCAACTAACAGGAAAGGCAAGAGTCTGGAGGAGCGCTGTTGGCTGGTATTTGTCGGCGAGGCTCTGGCCAGAGGAGGAGAGGTGCGTTATCTTCATTATGATAACTGGACGTTTCATCAGTTTACCCATGTCCTTGACACACAGTGGACTGAGATGAAGACGGTCAACACGTACGCCATGCCTTTTGTCCCGGACAAGACTCATTGGACCTCGGACATTTACCATGCTTTGGGATCTTGGTTTTTAGTGGAAGATGGACTCCATCGGAACATGGAGGAGATAGAAGGAGGGATGCAAAATGTTGTTTTTCCATCATTGTGCAAAACCGGCGAGTCAAGCACCGCAAAACTTCTTACTCAGGCAATTCAGAAGTGTCTGCCGGACAATATCAAAAGTCAGATTACCTCTCGATCTTTGAGGGATGCTGGAATTACTGAGCTTGCTGCCCATGGGTCCTTGTCGATCTATGAAAGTTGTGCAAGATCTGGACACTCCACCGGCACAACCCAAGATCATTATATCAGCGACCAGCACTATCTGTATGGGTTGAAGGCAGGCATGGCCAGGGCAGGGTATGATGTTTCCAGCGGTGATTACACAAAGAAAATTCACCTGCCTAGAGTTCAAGCTATTGGCAGTGGGGTCGACAATCAGCTTCATGCCTTTTTGGATAAATGCTTTACAGTTGACGTTCCTCATTTTGATAAGGGGGGCAAACTTAGGCCTGTGCTTTTGACTTGTCTTGCCACACTTCTACAGCATTACAAGGCCGTTTTGATTGACTGTGGCCATGACAATGCCATTATTCAGCACTTGAACAAAGCTGCTTTACATTCCTGTTTAAATGACCCACGCTGGCCAAGATTGGCTCCAATTGAAATACTTCAAAAGTGGTGTGGATTGATCAATAGTGATCTTTGAACACCGTATCTGTCAATCACAGTGTGTGACACCCAACCTTGAGTCACTGTCAGGTGCTTTGAACAACACC